ACAGGGATCTCGACGACTACACCATCAACAAGTTCATCCACAGGTACCACCAGCAGCGCGTCAGCAGTTTCGGCCGACGGCGCTACCACAACCATCGCGAGAAACCCGACTCCGACGAGACGGCCGCCAAAATCACGCTGGGTGAGTGACGGGAGAGAGAGAGAGAGAGAGACTGAGACTGAGAGTAAGAAAGAGAGAGAGGCAGGGAGGGAGGGAGAGAGAGGTGATAGACACTGAGATTGAGAGAGATAGAGTGTAAAGGCTATTAATTGACGCCTTAGATATTGGTTGCAGGAGTAGTAATAGGAGACGATTGCTTTGACTCTTTATCTTCTAAGAGTATAACAACACACAGAGATATGAACACCAACGAGATAAGTTGGGTAGACGCGGGGTGAGGAAGGAAGTGACCGCCTGAGCCATAGGCCCGGGACCTGTCCTGACCAGCTCCCGTGCGGGCATTGACTCTCTCTGACCTGGGTCATCCTCAGCCATAAATACCCGGGAACTGCGCGGGGGGCGCCACCTCGGGTCAGCGTGGGTTTCGCCATGAGAGGGTTTTGCATCCAAAACTGCATCCTGTACATATTGTAGTGTACTGATATCCTATGCGTAGCCTAGTTAATGTAACCTGTTGTCTCCGAGACAGTCCGTGATAGACTTTATAGGGCTTGTCTAAATTTGATGTCTCAACAATACTCTCGCAGTGCCAGATAGTACCATGTCCGTCTTTTTGTCATTTTTTCATTGGTCCATACCTGATCCTCATAATCTCTAAGACAGTTGATAACTCGTTTTTTTATTTGATTGAGAGATAGCGGTATTACATAACATGAATCTTCATGGGAAAGTGCTAACCTGGATCTTCCCTGTGACATAGTGATATTCCTATATGAGAGGGTATCCAGTATAGTGACACTTGGGTACCCCATTCTGATAATTTAGAAATTTGGTGAAGGATATTCTTAGTTACCATGTTTTCTGGAGTAAATGCAGTAAGCCTGTTAAGAGCGCCTTGGCTGTCTGTAAAGACAGCCAGGTTTCGATGCTGTCTCTACCTTTCTTAATGGCATGATATATAGCTCTGACTCGGCATCAGTTGTGCTTGCCCAGTTGGAGATGCACTTACTTTCTTCAAGGTCTATATCAGGAATTAGCACACCAATCCCTGTTGCTCCATGAGGACCACTGGAGGCATCACAGTAGATTGCAAGTAGGGGCGTACCATGAGGGGAATGTAGAATGCCATCTATATATTCCAAGTAGTGAGCTTTTAGTTCCGTTTTTGAAGCCATAGATTTAGACCCTATTAGTTTATCAATATGAGCATGTACATGAGTTCTGTGCTAAGGAGCAGTAAGTACTGTATCTGGAATATTAATAGCTTCGTTGTTCCATACATTGAAGAACATGATAGTATGAGCAGTTTTAGTTTTCCATTCTAAGTTGG